TCGTAGGGGCATTCTTCATCAGAGTAGATGTCAATGAGGGACGAGCAGGCTTGAAGCATCGGCTCAGTACCGATTGGAGAGGGCTGGGAGGAGGCTGGGAGGAGGGAGAGGAGGTAGTTCGAGATGATCTACGTGCGTATGGCGATAAGCAAGAGATGGGGGAGGTGTGAATGAAGTAACGTACGCGATTCGCATCAATCGCGTCGGGAGCCCGCGCAAGAGACTCAAGCGTACCGATACACTTGACGCGTACCGTGTCGTCCGCGCGTGAATCGCACAGCTGCATCAGCACCTTCACGTGCTCTTCGTCCAGCGTCTGTGCATGAGTCGTTCGTCAGTGCACCAAACCCAGACGCATTGTGGAGTGAGGGAAAGACACACAAGCTTTCCGGGCCAGATGATGCCGGCGGCCCACAACACGCCCACCGCGACATCCCACACCTGCATCCTCCTGTCCTGTCCTGGCCCACCTTGCGTACCCGCAGCGCTGAGCGCCCTCCATACCTCGTCCCATACCTTCTTCCCTGCATCAACGTCTTTCGCCACGACGTCGCTCGGGCGCGCCGCAAGAGCGAGGAAGGCGTTGTTTAGGCATTCGAACGCTGCGACGTGGATAGCGCTTAGCGCAGAGGTGGTTGGTGCGTGCGGCGAGGGCGCGCCGAGCGGCGGGAAAGAGAGCGGAGTTGGTTGGATAAGCGCAAGGAGGGGTACTAGAATGGAAGGGAGGATGGAGGGGGCGGGTTTATCGGCGTCGGTAGTGCCGTTGGGCACGGGTGCGGGATCCTCGACAGCCATGGAGTCATCCGCGTCGTCCATACCGCCCTCATCGTCGTCCTCAGCCTCGTCGTCCTCTTCTGTAGCCTCCTCGTCCGCGGAAAGGTCGGGATCAGGCAGAGTGGCACATACGCCAGTCAGAATTTCAAGAGCGAGCTGAACGGCGCGCAGTCGCGCCTCTATCCTCTCGAGCTCGATCGTCTCTGGCGTTTTGTGGTCCGAGCCAGGATTTCCCTTGATCGATGGCTTGTCTGCAGTGGATGGTTGCTCTGTCTGACGCATCTTTCTCAGCTGGGTACAGATAGGGGAGTAAAGAAGAGCGTACTTGTTTCTGCGCCAAGCGTTGTACTGCGTCGGATGTCTCATGTAGGGAGGTTGACGAGATGACAGGGAGAAGGGTAGGGAGGACGACCTCCTTATCAAGGTCCACGAGCGAAATTGTGGACGGCGGGGGAATCGGGGATACATTCCGCAGAATGCCTGAACAAATCAACACGCCAGTCTGAGCCGAAAGGATACGAACACACCACAAGCCAGCAGACTCAGGGTCATGGTACGTTCTTCTGCTGCTGGAGTCTTCCCCTTGGGATCTTGGGAGATTCCATGTGCCTTTGCGACTTCATGAAGACACGAGAGGTAGCTGCTATTTGACCGCACATCCTCGATTACAGGGCGGTTGTCGTCGGTTAGAACGTACAGACACTGTGCTGGATATCCCTTGAGATATCTTGTACCGCAAGGCCTGTGATTATGACAGACCTGCAGATACAACAGTAGGAAGTGGGATTTTTTGACGTGCCGCGAGGAAAGACATGAGGAACGGCACCAGCGCGAGCTGGTTAACGGCATTTAAGGCCTTATTCGACGTCTCGCTGGGGGGCCTGAGAAGTCATCCCGTGCTGAAGAATGTACACTCACGAAAGGCACCATAAAATGGTGACGACGTTGTCAGCGAAGTCATACACGATCGCCTGTGCGTTCTCTGGCGCGTTTTTCGACGACTCGAGGAACTGCGATAGCGTAGTGGAGATCTAGGGTCTCCGTTAAAATTCAGACTGATAAAAAGAAGAAAAAAAGGAGTGCAGACTTTAGGAATAAAAGTTTGTAGCGGCGCGAGAATATTTTTGTTATACATTTCCGCACATATGTCGTACCCTCCGTCGATGCATAGATTTCTGCCCCGCCTTATTAAAGACGCAGTCATATCGCATTGAAAGTATACGCACCGTAGAGCACCGGCAGCCTCGACCACCACTTCGTCCTCCGAGTCTGATAGACGTGTGATCAGTTCTCCGACGATGTTCTTGCCCTGCAGCAGCCTGCGCGTCGAGGGATCGTTGTAGATCAAGTTGGACACCGCGACACAGGCCCACTTGCGTTCGCCTGCTTCGGTGCTACTCATCTGCATATACAGAGACACGCAATATAGCAATCATTTCGCGCGATGGACACGAGACGCACCTTCTGGATGATAGGCAGGATGGCCTCCGTCTTGGACGACGAGGACGATGCGGACGCGAGGCCCTTCGGCAGATGCGAGTCAGGTACTCGCATCGGATTGTGTCTGCGCGACGATTTTTTCTTCTGAGATTTTCCCATCTTCTCTGGGCGTCGATCCTGGTATACGTAGGTCGCTAGTGCTAACAGGGCGAGACGCGCGCGAGAAGACGCGAGCTTGAAATTTGCGCGCGTGTTGAACGCGTGCGTGTCGTTGCGCCACAGTCCTGGGTCGAGATTTCCTGCTCTGACGGCCACCAGACAGATCGTACTATGGATTTTTAGAATTATATTTCTTTGTTTCTTATCTATACATGGTAGGGTGGTGGTATAAATGTAGAAGGTGATGCTATAGAGTCTATTCTGCGATGGGTAAGACTCATAGAAACGAAAGTATGGTATGGAATGTAACAGCAGATGGTAACGTTTGCAAGAGCAGCTCGAATCAGTCTTTGATAATCAGATTTTAATGAATTGAAGCATGCGTGTACGCCGCACGGCTTGCCGGCGCGTGAGTTTGGCTGTCGGCAACGAGCCCAGCACGATATCCGTCTCCTCTGTCATGCTCGACGTCTTGACGACAAGCTGCGATTTCTGCAGCTCGACAGTGAAGGATACGTCCTCGGTTTGAAGCTTGGGAAGCTTGATTTCGATTGGAGAGAGCGGGAGCGGAGAAGCACTGGGACAGAGTGCGGCCTTGGGAGACCAGGATGCACGCCGGACGAGATCAGGAACGGGCACATTCTTGGAGAGTTGCGGGAGGTCCAGGACAATCTCCGAAGACGCTTTGGAGATTTCTGGTGCTTCCTTGATAGTCGGGGGAAGAGGCGCGAATGTGATGCGGCGTTTCGACGAGCCGGTAGTGGGATTGAGCACGAGAATTCCCTTCGCTGGCTTCGAGGCGGAGTTCTGGCGCAAGGGCGCAGGCATGTTGAGCTTGCTCCGTACACGTTGGGCAATCTTAGGCAGCACAGCGCGCATAGGTGATAAAGGGCTCCGCTCTCCGCGCGGCGGAGACGGAGTCGTGGGTGAACCATTCGTGCTCGTCGAGTTCCAGGAGATGATTTTGAGCATGGGTAGGGTAGGGCGCGCGCGGTGCTCGTCGACGGGCGATGTAGGAGGCGAACTCTGGGGCGAACTCGGAGGCGAACGGCGCAGAGTTGTGGTGACGGTGCGCTTAAGGGTTGCATGAAGGCGTTCAACGCGGCTCGGCTCGTATTCCGGCTCCCACTCAGGCTCGACCTCGTATACGTGGTACTCAGGCTCCTCTACGAAAGCCACGCTGCGTCTGAGGGGCTTCTGACGGAAGTCCTTCTTGGAGTGGAATACGTGGTTGTATCTGCGCCTCCTTTTTTCTTCTCTGGCGCGAGCTTTCTTGGCGAGGTACCAGTCGGGGTAACGGTTGGAGCAGAAGACCTGGGTGAACCACTGCCAAAGAGGATTAGAGTCTGTCGTTACTGGCGAAAGTGATAGATGTGATGCGCACATAATAAAAGGCCACCAAGTACCCCCAGTAGCGGACCACAGACTCCCAGAATGCAACCGCATTGATCACAAGGGGAGAGTTCCAATTTATGAAGATCGGGGATGCGTTGACGTCGCACGAGTCGAGAGCCATGGGTGTAAAGAGAGGGGAGGAGTAATGGTACGCGAAGGTGAAAGAGTGAGGACGGTCAACGTCGAAAAGCTTGCCTCGTCAAGAGGATATGAGGCGTGTCGTCTTCAAGACGGAGAAGAAAGATTGAGTGAGGCCGTTGCTAGTCCTCAGAGGCCGAAGTTTTATAGACGAGAAATGAGCCCCTATGCGCGAGTGAGACAGGGGCTCATAGCTCGCGGATACGGGTGCGGATGAGCGGATGAGCGGACTCGTTGGTGAGAAGACGGATAGTTGCTGGTATCCGCCGGATGTAGCGCGGGTACGGCACGGGTGCAAAAGATTACCGCGTACACCGACAGGAAGAGCCGCGCGAAGATGACTGGTGCTCCGGATGGTCCACGTCGTCTCAAGCCGGCAGAATCAGCACACCCGCTCCCCCTGAAGACGTAGCATGCGAGCAGAGAAAGGCGCTGGCCAGCTTGACAAGGCCCTGTTTTCAACGATTATAGGACACGGATAACAGATCACCGTCACCGTTAGAATGACGGCTTGTCAAAGGCGCACCGGAGAGATTCGCCGTCCACAACGAGGTCGACAACAGCCAAGCCTTGGGTTCAGACAACTCAGCCGACCAGAGAGCAGCAGTGCGCCGAAATAAGCCCTATCTGATATGGACATAGACGATCGCCATCCAAGACAGGAATCCCAGCCCACCTAAGCTACGCACGTCTTCACGCACAGAGTCCGATCGCGTCTGCTTCGGCCTAACTATAAGGATCACAGGAACCGAGGCCGAGGCGTTGCGTTGTGTCCGCCCAGAAGGATGGAAGCCGTGTGTGTGGGACATTCGTCCTCATCTTTGCGAGAAGAGCGGCCATTCGCTGGAGAGGACGCAAAATGACGGCGATGTTGTGCCAGCCGTCAAGAATGCACTGGCGCGTGTAAGCCGTGAAGATCCCAATGCACTTAGGATACAGATCGAGAGGATTTCTCAGGCGACGGTGGTGTAAGGAAGGGACCAAGGTGGAAGTGAAGATACATGAAGAGTACGATGTACATGACGGGGAGTAGATGGAACGCAAAAAGCTTGGCCAAAGCTCTTGATGGACAAATGCTATGTAGCTATTCCAGATCGGATATGGTGTAACGGCTAACATTGCCGCCTTTCATGAATTGATCGCGGCAGCTCGGGGTTCGATTCCCCGTATCCGAGTGTACAGAGGTATTGCTTTTTTGTCTCTACATTACCGAGACTGGTCTTATGTCAGCGCGCAATGCATATTGAGGGGCAGTATTTGCTCATATTCTGTACCGGGCATACAATGGCTCACCATTCCATCACCTGTCCACCCATTTCTCACTCACTCTGCTTGGATCAGTGCCATTCTGTACGTTCATCGATCGGATATGGTGTAACGGCTAACATTGCCGCCTCTCACACGAGTGCCCGCGGCAGCTCGGGGTTCGATTCCCCGTATCCGAATCTCAAAGGCTGTCCTATTTTCAAATTTTTGCATAGACATCCAGCAAAGGACCACGGCGTACTCTTTTTCCTCCTCACGGCCCCTCTCCCGCACTCAATCTTCCAGCAGCGCACCCGACTCCGCGCCCAATCTTCCAGCAGCGCACCCGTGGCCATCGGTCAATGCCGGGAGAACGCGCCGAGCGAGCGGGTGACGGCATGATCCACGCCCGCACGTACGTACGACCACGTTCACGCTATAGCATCTTACAGCACTCCCGCCGATCGGATCGCCCGCACGAGGATCTTCGCTACTAGCACTTTCGCTCAAACGTCGATCGGACTGACGCCGTTGATATTAATTATTAATGACGACCACGACGGCGTGATGTGCCATGGAAGCACTGAAGCGGACGGCGGCAGGTTGCACGGAAGCGCGCGGCGACGGCCCGATAGATCCTCACGCATCACGCATCATGCATCACACAGCTCATCTCATCCGAGCACAAACGAACGCACGACGCATCGCGAGCGCAAATGCACAAGCCGAGAGAAAAGGCGTGTAGAATGTACATCGGGTCGGAGTCCTAGTACGCGTGCGGCGGGAGATAGTCCGGAGAAGCAGGGGGGAGTAGGGTGTGGGGTGTCGAGCGAGCGAGCGAGCGGGCAGCGAGCAGAGCAGAGGAGAGCGAAGCGAGAGGAGAGGATGCGACGGACGGGCGGGCGGGTTATCGGTCGACTCGCGACGGGCCGGGATCGGACTCAGCCCATGGCGGCGCATCGTCGTCGTCGGGCGTGAAAAGAGGCGGTGCGCTCGGTTGGAGCGCGTCGCCGTGTTGCAGCGGCGGTGCGCTAGGTATCAGCACGCCATCACGGTGCGGGGGCGGCCGCAGCGCCGCGACGAGCGCATCGTCATCTTGCATCGCGTCCCCGTCCTCGTCTTCCTCCTCAAACGGCGGCGCACTCGTCCCCTCCTCCTCCTCCACCTCAAACGCCAACATCTCCACACCCACCTCTCTCTCCACCCCCCTCGCCATCGCGCGCGCATACGCATACTCATCATACAGCTTCGAGCTCCCCGCAACGCGTTCCGGCGGCGGAGGCAACCACAGCGTCGCGTGGCTCGGCGGCGGTAGGGGTGGGGACGACGTCGACAGGAAGCCATCCGGTAGCGGTGTAGCGGCGAAGTCGTCGTCCGGCGGCAGCATAGCGTGGAAACCGTCCTTCAACGCGCGGTGCGGAGACGAAGGCCCCGGCTCCAGCCCCGCCATCTCCGCTTCCTCAGCCTCCGGCGCGCTCCCGCACCCGTGCCCCTGTCCGTCCGTCTCCGCCCGCGGACCCGACACGAGCGCGGCGCGCGCAGCGAGCAGCGTCTTATCGTCCGTCGCGACATGTCCATCCAGCGCGTGTGCCTCAGCCCGCTTCGCGCAGGGTGCGGCCGCGCGAACGTATTGCGGTGCCGGTGCGGAGGCCTCTTCCTGTGCGCGATCGTATGCGGGCGGCTGTGCGGGCGGCTGGTGGGGGTCGGCGGACGGATGTGGTGGTGGGGGGGAGGTCGACGGATGTGGGGGCGGGAGGTCGACGGACGGATGTGGTGGCGGGGGGGGATCGGGCGGGGCAGGTCCGAGTGCCGGCGCAGAATCAGATGAAACGTCCGGCGCGGAATTCTCGGATATCGTCATCGTCGTCGGATGGGGGCTCGACGAGCGCAGACTAGGCGGCAACGACGGCGACGAGTCGCTCGTGCTGACGACGGACGAGGAGGAGCTGAGCGTCGCGTCGCTGTGCGAGGCGTCGAGGGCGAGCACGCGCGCGGTGCGGCGGCGCCGGGCGGAAGCGCGGACGTTCGCCATCCAGCGCAGACCGGCCTTGTCCCATTTCTTCTGCGACGCAACGAGCGCATCGGCGACGTCCTCCTTCGCCTTGCGGCGTATCCGGCGTTCTACGTCGCGGGCGCGCCGGCGCTTGCGGCGCCAGGTGACGCAGCAGATCATGAGGAAGGCGATGAGGGCGGCGAGGGCGAGGGAGAGGGTGATGATGGCGACGAGGGTGGAGGAGGGCAGGGAGTTTTGGAGACGCCAGCCGGCGGGGAGGTCGGTGAGGTCGAACTCCTCGAGCGGGCTCGGGTTCGAGGTTGTGGATGTTGCGTTGAGGGTGTCGGCGCTGGCGTCGAGGGTGGTGGCGGAGACGGAAGTGGAGGTTTCGGATACCTGTGGACATAGGGGGCGGGGGATGAGCATGGTCATTGTGGCCAAGAGCGAGCCGAGACAAGCGACGCACGACACAAGCGGTTTCGTTGGCGGAGCCGGGCCCAGACTGGCGCCAGAGGCCGTCAGGGCCCTTGGTGTATTGAACAGGCAGGTTGAGAAGGGCGGCGTTCTGCCAAGCAGAAGTGCCTGCCTGGGCAGAAGCGGAGGTAGATGAGTCGGAATAGGATCTTGGGTGGTGGATGCGAGAGGGAGGGCTGCGACTTGTGCTCGCAGATGAATGACGATGACGACTGTCAGGTGTGGGAAGGGGGGCAGGCGGGGAAGTGCGGGGCGGCAAGAAAGGGTAAAGGAACGGGAGGGCGGGCTCGTCGAAGGGGTAATCGAGCGGGTCGGGAGCTGCGGAGCGGGTGAATGGGTGGGCGCTGGCGCCAGCGAAGCCGAAAGCGGCGGCGATGAGGGATGTGGCGGGCGAGGAAGCTGATCTCCGCGGGGCACGGGGACGCGGGCGTCTGGAGTCTTGGAAGGACGGACGGCTGGAGCTTGGACTTGGCTTGGGCGGGGGATGGGAGGAGGTGCCAAGAAGGCGGTCGCGAGGCGACGGCGCCATCAGCGGGCTGGCGATGAATGGCTGGGCAGGAGACAGCCAAGCCTTCGAGGAGCCAAGGCCGCGTGACGAATGAATTACGCTATCAGAAGACTCCGTCGCTGCGGATGGCAGGGAGGACGGAGGACGGCGACGAGCAGGCGGGGCGGGCGGGAAGGGAGGACGGTGGGAGGACAGAGAGCGGGAGCTAATACTCGGCTCGTCTTTTCGGTGCGGACGGACTCGAAAGCATGCCATGCACCAGCCGGCCGTCGACGAGGTGCCCCATCCCATATTTAGCCCTCTCTTCCAAAAATAGCCCCCCTCCCTCGTCCCCTCCATCCCCGCATCCAGCCTGGCGGCTCCTCCTTCCCAGTTCCCTCTCCATCCATCCCGTAGTCCGTCCTTCTGGTCCTCCCTCCAAATATGTACCCTCCACGCCTCATCCCCTATCGCTCCCAGCGAGAACTAACTTAGTAGCCCATCTGTAGGCGCCCCTTGTGCCGTACGTCTCGCGCTATGATTAGGCCCCGATACTCTTCCATGCCACACCCCGTGTCCACGCCCAAACATAAAACAAAAAAAAATACGCACGCCTTTCCCGCTCCGTTCCCGTCTCCGATGTGCCGCCTCGTCGCCATCGTCAACTTGCGTCTTCTCAGGCTCTGACGCCCCATTTCATGACCCACGCTCTGAAACAACCAGCCGCCCTCCGGGACGGCTCCTAACACGTAGCGAGAGCTACGTCCGTACCGTCGCCCACCGGACCCGTTCCTCCATCACCCCTAACGAACACCATGGTAAAAACAGAACAGCGCCTGCCTCGCAGGTCCAGACGCACCATCTAATAAGAATAGCGTCTCCGTGCACGCGCGCTCATCCAGTTCTGTAACACCCTCGCGCACGTGTCGATTGACGCTATTTTTTACCAGTCGCCTGCCCCACGTCAGTTTCAGCTCCAGCTATGCATGCCGCGTACTGTGATCAGCTAGTCGCGCTGCCGCAAGCCCGTCACGAGCTCGAATCGTCTGTCTACTCGCCCCTCTCAGCGTCCGATCTCCGGCTCGCGCGCCGCGGTTCTCGCCATGATTTCATCGACCGGAGCGTCGAGTGGACGCACCCTCATTTCTTCGCTTGCTGCCTGACCCGAAGAACGCGTCACGCGCCGGGAATCTTGTTATGAAGAAGGAACCCCAGCACCTGCTCCGGCTTACCGCCTACATCTAATATTATCGCTCTCGCGAATATTAATGTAAATCTCTTGCAGACACGTCTTGTGACGACGTTCTATGACTCGGCGAAGCTACTGTGAGCGCGGGGGACCCGAACGACTGCACGACCACCCGTGAGCGCTGCGAATACTCGCGCTGCGCCTCCAGTTGTGCTAAGTAAGGATCACAGCGACCGTCGGGTGGCCTATAACGCGCTTTCCATCTGCCCACTGCACTCCCGTTCTTCCTTTAGTCCCGTCAGTACTGTCAGACAGTCGCAGAAGCACGTGCGCGTGCGCGTGCAGTCCTCGCGCCGGTGCAGCAGCCAACGTCAGAGCTCGAGTGCCCGACGGCCCACATCTGCACTCGCCGCTTCCGACGCTCGTCACCTACACATGCACCCCGATCCGGACGCCAATCTAGCGTCGGCCGGGAGAGAGAGAAGCTGCAGAAGAATTCAAAGGTGCAGGCAGAGGGTGATGCCAAGCGAGGGCGTGACGCCACCAGGCTGCGCCGCGCCAGGGCGCGCGTGCCGACGCCACGACGTTGTCCCGCGCTGCCGACGCGATCCACCGACGGCCCTCGATGTGCGTGTTCGAGTCGACGACGCGCAGCAGAGCTGCATCTGTGGCGTCCGTCATGCTATCATCGTAGAATCACGGCTAGATGCATTCTACGAGCATCCCCTTTCGTGGGACACTGGTTCGACCACGATGGCGGTAGCGCCGCGACAATTAATATTAGTAT